GGGAGCGGGATGCAGCTGGAGCCGGCACGGGGCTAGGGGTGCCGGCACAGCCCAGCTTAACGCCCATCTGCAGGCTCCATCCTGGCCCGCAACATGTCGACACGCTCATGTCCCCCACGCACCAGCCCTGCCTCCGACGTGGAGGAGGAGGAGGAGGGACCGCCAGACAGCAGAGGGTGAGCCCCTGGCCCTCCATGTCCCCTGCTCATCCCCAGCCCGCAGCATCCCCATCACCCTGCCCGCCCTGTGCCTGCAGGGAGCGGAGGAGCTCGGCGCTGAAGGTGACCAAGAAGAAGGCTTGGCGCAGGCACACGGACGTAAGGCACCGGCCCCTCTCCCCGGGGTGGCCCTGGCAGGTGGGAGGGACCCCTGGGCGAGCGGCTGTCACCTCCCTCCAGGACCCCAGCAAGGAGTGCTTCACCCTGAAGTTCGACCTCAGCGTCGACATCGAGGCAGAGATTGTGCCGGCCATGAAGAAGAAGTCCCTGGGGTGAGTCTGCCAGGGGCGGATGCAGGGATGGATGCAGGGACAGATGCGGAGACAGATGTGGCTCTTGTGTCCCTGCAGGGAGGTGCTGCTGCCAGTCTTCGAGAGGAAGGCAATCGAGCCGGGCAAGGTGGACATCTATCTGGACCAGTCCCACACGCCGCTCTCCCTCCAGTTCGAGGCGTACCGCTTCGGGGGGCACTACCTGCGGGTGAAAGGTGCGGCAGGGGCCCGACGGGAGGCTCAGCCACCCCGGGGCTCCCAGGGGAGTCTGACAGCCCAATGCTTCCGCAGCCAAGCCCGGGGATGAGCTGAAGGTGGAGCAGGCGGCGCGGGATGCCAGGTCGGCCAGCCTGCCCATCCTGCACCCCACCAGCACCACTGCGCTCCTCGGGCCGGTGCCGGGACGCCGGGAGGGCACCGACAGCCAGGTGAGTACCGGTGCCAGTCCTGGGGGTAGGAATTGGGGAGGGGGTGGCACAGCACGGGATACCCCGTTAGCCATCCTTGACAGGAAGCTGGGGACATGGGGCAGCAGCACAGCATCTGCTGGGTGGCCTTGTGTGGTGTGGGCTGAAGATCCCCCCCGAGCCAGAAGAGCTCCTAGCTGTGCCGTGCTGGCTGTGCCATGCCGACTGTGCCGTGGTGGCTGTGACTGTGCCAGACATGACAGCTCA